AAGGACTTCTTTCAAAACCTCCAGAGCATTACTAGCCTTCTGAATAATACTGCATACAATAAATGCAGATTAAAAATGGTTATTCTTTTGCGGGCAAACAATTAAACCTCCTCTTCAGTGCGTGAATGATAGAAACTAGCACCTAGCCTACCTTAAGATCAGTGCATGATGCAACATACCTCAATACAAACAAAGGATTGAATTAGCAAACTATACCTGGCTTCCGGAACAACTTGAGGCTCCACTGGTGCTGGCTGAGCAACCATTCCATGTCTAGAGGTAGCAAGTTCCCCATTGAGTGTAATTTTCTTATTTCCTTGGGCAGTCTGATTATTTGATGGTCTTTCACTTGATGGTCTTTCATGAGGCCTCTGAGGAAATTGCATTCCGGCACTCTGGAAAACAATTTAAAACAAGCTTACTTTCAAGAGTTAAAAAAATCCTGCACAGCATAAGCATAAGAACAATTCAAACTTTTTGCCTCTTATACTGTGCAATTGTCACTGCTGCTGGTAAAAACACCCAAGCTGATAAACCCACATTACAATAGCAAGTTTCGCGATGGCAAACAGTAGGAAGGGGAACAAGGGCTGGGACCATTGGAAAACAATTTCTAAAGCTCCAATTCATAGATATTTGGGGTACGCAAATTTCAGAACCTCCCTAAGGGAAAAGAAAACTCCTAAATGACAACTTTGCACATAGAATTTTGTTGTTCTTATTTTTTGGACTTCCAATGAGCTTTTAAGTAGAAGCCTGTTGAGCTAGTAAGTTGTTCAGGTGACAAATTTTCTTCTAAATATGTAGACATGATGGCACAACAAGCTTGTTGGTTTTCTGTAAGGCCTGTCAACAGTTGAAATCATGTGGACAAAGAAAAAAAAAAAACAGACCCTTCAAACTATCAAATGTCAATGAATCTGCAGAAGTTGTAACCTAGCAGTGGTTCATTGGCATAAAAAGTAATTCTGACAAGCCACATGTTCCATACATTACCTACCACCAAATCATAATATGCAGTATAGTACTGTGGGAACTTTCCAGAAGCACCACCAAGAGATGTCTGTGTGGCATCTAGAAGAAGAAATACCCTTTCTCGTATAGGCAACTCTGTCTGTAATACAAGGAGAACAGTAAATTTTAGTTACAACTCTGTAAAATGAGCCAAGCATCAACTAACTTTGTAAAAGTGAATGGTCTACCTTTTTCTTCACTATCTTGACAAGAATGGGAAGAATCCCTGTATCAATCACCTGTCTATGAACTTGCTCCCCAATATTGTTCATCAGCATCTCCAACAACTGCAAAAACAAGAGGTAATACGTGTTTTAACCTATTTGTATTGTACCAAGCATATCTGCCATACAAAGCATCAACCCACCATTACTGCATATAATTTATACAAAGCATGAGCATCAACCCACCATTACTGCATATAATTGAGTATTAGCATTCTTGCTCCCCAAACGCTTTTTAATAGCTTTAACAACATCTCTAGCTTGCCTGTAGATCAGAATCAACAGAACTGTTCCATGAATTCATCAATGATGACAAGCAAACAAATGAAGAAGCAGTGTTCAAACAACAGTTTGCTTTACCTTCGCAATATTTAGCAGCACCTTAAATACTGAAATTCTAAAAACATCATCGCAAAATCCAGTCTTTGAACAAGAGCATATTTAATACTAGTGGTCATTCCCCAAACATGATTTACCATGAACAACACATTTGCAATAACTAAAACACTGCAGACAATATGTTATACCTTCCATCATGTGCAACTAATTCACAGATTTCAATATTTTTGGTCCAATCTACTTCAGCCAGCTTATCATTGGTTGCAGAATTGACGAGCTCAGTTGCCATCTGCCTATTCAGTAATTCATAATGTAAAGAAAAATTAAAGATTGGAAACACTCTTATGGCTTTTGGTCTATAAGACAGGAGAAAACTATATAAAACAAATGAAAAGTGGATTAAGAATTTGCAATAAAAATTACAAATAACCACATATTGGCAATCACAGCTCAATTTCACATATAATCCCTACTCATTACAATTTTACTAGTAGTTCATCACTAACTCCATGTCTGTGAGAATATATGCATACAAGCCAGGTTATTGATTACACTCACAACACCCCTGACCTCCATACAATAAACAATTTACAAAACCAAAAGACAATAACAGAGTTTCAGGATGCCGACAAAAGTCCAACAATGTTAAATGGCCAAACAAAAGATAAGATCAGTACAGAGGGAAGACCAGGGAAGACATCAACCATAAATCTAAAATAATTTGGATGGAAAAGGAGGGAAACATCCAGTCCTTTTTGAGATTGTAAAATGCAAGTCCAAATAAAGGGAAAAAAATTAAATGGTGTCAGGCCAGCTATAACATTAGGTGATAAAGAAATAACATGTTCATAAAATGAGTGTGGTCACAATAAGAATGCTAACGTGGAAACTTTGGCAGTGGAAAACAACTGATGGAACAAGAATTAATACAATGATAAAGGCAGGGGAGGCAACGATTAAGAAAATTTAGATGGAAAGCCTTTTAAGATGATCCGATCATATGAAACTAAAACCTTTAGACAAGAACAACATGGTGAGAGGTAGTCCAAAAAATAACGCATGTTGAGATCAGACAAGAACAACATGATGGGTAGTCCAAAAAATAACGCATGTTGAGATTCGAATTTTGCAGAACTGCCAAAAAGAACTTAGACCTACTTTCCTTCACAAAAAGCAAGAAACAAATCAAATGCGTGTCTTTAATATCCAGCAAACACCTTGAAACTGATTTAGCATCATTCGCTATTCTGCAGACAACAAAAATAAAGCATAAATTAATTACAGACCTACTCGAATACAAAATGTTCGACACGGTCACTAAACATTATAAAACTAGTAATGAAATTTGCTTCATAGCTATCTTGGTTGCAAACTAATCATAAAAACATAATGCATTATCACTTTCAATTTAGTAAACTCATAACCACAGAAATTCTTCTAATCGGAATTCTGTTCAAAATGGACACCAAGTAAAATATCAGATTATAAGAAATATTGTATATACGGCCAAAGCACAAACTTTATCACACTAGCGGCGACAGAACAAATTAAAACTAGACCAATGAGCTCCAAGATTCAAGCTTTCAGTTACTATTTAGATTCCTACATTCTCATAGCAACCAAACAGAAACTTTAATGCTAAATCAGCTCTAGATCCCAATCAAACTTCCATAAAAGGAAAAGATAAACACGACCCAATTAATAAAACAATCTATACAAACAACCCTGAAAATGAAAGGATCAGCATTTAATACCAAACCCAGTAAACCCCAACACCGGAATAACGATTCCAAATCTTAAAACACAACCACAACAAAAAACATCATACCTGCGAGAAAAACAGCAAGGAATACAGAGAAAATGAGGTGGAAATCAATGAAGAGTTGATAAGCCTTGAAAAGCTTCAACATTTCAAAAACCCAATAACAAGTTAATGAAGAAAGAAAGATCAAAATGAAGGCTTTCTTATTTATACAGGGGAGCTGGAGCTTGTAACTGGCCTTCTCTGTATCTTGGTTGTTCTCTCTTTTTTTAGCGTTTTCTTTTGTTGCTCTTATTTTTTGCTGCCAACTATAATACAGGTAGCTGAACAAGAAACAAAAAGTGTGTATATGTATATAAAATGAATTTTAGAAAAATAAATTATTTTTAAAAATAAATTTTAGATAAATAAATTATTTTTTAATATTTAATAATATAATAAAAAAATAATTTAATAAAAAGTGTTTGATTATATGTAAACTAAAAAAAATTATTATTATTTTATTTTTTAAAAATTTATTAAAATAATAAGGAATAAATCTTTCAAATGAAAAGTTAAATAAAAATAAAATTAAAAATATATAATTTTATAAATTATTTCAAATAAAATAAATAATAATAAAAATAATAGATATTAAATCTAAAAAATTAAAATAATAATAATTACTAATTCATAAATTATTTTAAATAAAATATATATCAATTAAAAGAATGAGGGATAAATTTGATAAATAAAAAATTCAATTAAAAAAATTATAAAAATAAAGACTAATATTAATATAAAAATTAAATTCTAATAGATAAAATTAAATAAAAAATATTCAAAACAATATATATATATATAATAATTAAAAATTTAATGAACAAGTTTGATATAATTAGTAAATAATATAATATTTTTAAATTTTTTATAAATTTTAAAAAGTATTTTTTATCAAAAATATATGAGAAATACTTTTCTAAAAATTAAATCAAATTTTTTTAATTAAAAAATATTTTTGTAATCAATTATTTTAATAATAAACGAACTCCATAACACCCATAGTCAAACAACGCCCCGACTTTTGTTGAATTATCTGCCGCATGGTCCTTTTTATTTTGAAGTCCAGGCATTCCGAAGCAATGGAAAGACAGCACCCCAACTGACTGATTGAGCTCCATACCTCGTGTGAATCCCTTCTGTGCGCGGTCCGGGTACACTACTTTTCCTCTTGACGTAGCTTAGAGACTTATAGCCTATTCCACCTGCCCGTCGCTTACTCTAATGTCTACCACTCCCTCCAGAAGTCAATTTACTGCCAACAATCCCTCTCCCAATGCGAGAGAAAAGCTTGAAGCTTTCTTTGAAAGGTGATGATGGAAACAATAATGCCACGTGTTTGTGACCTTGGATGACTTTTTGTGGGATATGTCCTGCCACGTGTGTCTTCATATAGACACAGAGAGAGGAAGGGAGGGAGGATTCCTCCCTCTCTCTTTTTTTTATATGCGAAAGCTAGAGAAATTTATTTAGTGTGATAGATAATGAATTTTAATTGTTTTAATAGAAATATTTTTTAAATTTAAAATAATAATTTTTTTTTAATATTATAATTTTAAAATCATAAAAAATAATTAAAAATATCAAATTTCAAAATCATAAAAAATAATTAAAAATATCAATTTAATATTTTTTTCAAATAAAACATGTTAGAACTGTAAAAATAAGCACACCATTCACTATCTTTCATTATCTTGTATAATAAGACAGAGTTCTTTTTTTTTTTAATTTAAGAACAAGGGGTTGTTAATAAACTGTGAAAATTTAAACAATTAATCATGATGAATTCCATGTGATAAAACCATCCAATTATTCATGTAATTTTTTGTTTTAATTTTTTAAATGAATACATGATAGAGAGATTGAGAAACAAAATATCAAAAGTAATTTTTTAAAATAAAATATTTTCAATATTTTTTACATATAAATATGAAAAATAAATTTAATTATTTTAATGCTTTCAACGCAATGCACTGTATTGCTAATATATTTCATGTTTGATTTTGTGGTAATTTCTATTTTTTTAATGAAATAAAAATTATTATTTAATTAATCAAATAACTTTTATTCTTCACGTGTAATTACGTTTTAAAATTTATTTTCTAGTGAGGAAATATCATGGCTGGGTGATCTGGCTAGGGCAAGTTATCGACACCCATTAGAGGGTATGCAACTCACGTGGCAAGCAGGTTTGGCGAGTGTAGGACACATAACGTGTCTGAAACGTGCAAAAGGAAAGATAGAAAAGGCGAGGCAGAAGAAGGAGAGGTGGGGGGAGAGTGACAGTTCAGACCCAATGGCAAATGCTGACCATTTGCTGCTTTGCGGGACACTTTGATTCCTTTGACACCATTACCATTACCTTGAGATATAGTAAACTAGTTTGTTTTCCTAAATTGTTGTTCATATTTATTCCAAAGATGGATTCTAGAACCTTTTTTTCATAATTAAATTCCAAAGGATACCTTATTTAAGATATGATGGAAAAAAAAATTATTTTGATGTAAGAAACTTAACTCAAAATTAATAGGATTTTTACAAGAAAATCAAGCACAAATTATTGTTTTGAACCCTAATTAAAAAAAAAAAAAAAAGAACAAAACTTGCTATAGAAAAGCTAGCACAAAAATCAAAATACTATTGAAAAAAAAAGTATATGGAAAACATGAGTATGTTTCTCGGTTTATACGATACTAGTTTATTTGCCTCTGCTTTGCCGCAACTAGATCAAATTTTTTTAAATGTAAAGATAATGTTAAGAGTAGGAAGAGTTCTTTTATAGTGTCATTAAACATGACTAAGTAGGTCAATATTAAAGCCTCATGTTTCAACTATTTGTCTAACTCAAATTTCTAATTAAACCGTGTTGGAGCTAGCCCAATTTAAATCGATCAATTTTATAAATTCAAAAGTAACCTAGATTACTAATAAAAACATGGCTTAACTTTTAAAAAGATCTTAAGATGATAACTTTTTTTAAACAAATATCAAGACAACGAGAGATTGGATCAACTATGGCTCCCCCGTGACCCAAGTCATGAACTTTATTGGGTTTAATAACTTGTTTCATAAATTATTTTTTTAATTATATAATAAAAATATAGATACTCGTAAAATTGAACATCAAAATAGATATTTATTTGAGATTGTGATAACCCTATAAAAAACAAACAAAATAAATCATGCAGTCTATTTCCTAATCAATCTAATATTGAAGGACAAAATAAAAAAATAATAATTAAAAAATAAAGGATGAAAAACAAAAATAAAAACATATCTGGTTGGTGGGCAAACTTGTCAAGCATATGAATCGAGTAACATGGGCTAGCATGCCAAACCCATGACGAGATTATAGACTCCACTAGGATTATTGACATGACCAAAAAATTAATATTTTTTTTTTCAAGTATAGGAGTGTCGAAGCAATAAATAACCCAGCAAGACCGGGATCGAATCACAAGAAGGTTAAATGTATAAATTATAAACAACAATAATGCAACAACAACAAGAATAATAATAGTAATAGTAATAGTAATAGTAATAATAGCAATATTAATAATAATAATAGAAGAAAAAGAAGAAGTTGATGAGAATTTTGAGATGGAATATCAATTTAAGGATTAAATAATGATAACAACAAGTATCAAGTGTTATACAACATAAATCTAGATTAGTCATTTAACAAGCAAAGTATTAAAGAGTGAACAAGATAATAAATACAAAACATATTAGTATCAAACATTAAAGTCCATGTTAAGTTTACACTATAGTTATTTTTACACCATTAATGTAACATTTTCACCTTGATATAATAAACTTAACTAAACATAATGAAAGAAAGAAACATAAATAAAAAAGATAGGAACATAAATAAGATAGAAGTTAACCAAGTAAAGGAAATGAATTGAAAGGCATAAACAAGATATTAATTAAAACAAAACTTAAGCATTACAAAAATACAAAGAGAAAAAGTAAGAGTATGATCTTGATCTGGAAACCAAAATACATAAATACATAGTAAATGCCTCCTTTTATAGGCCAAAATTGGAAACTATTGATTTTATGTCTAATTGATGAGTCGGTGGTCAATTCTTGACTTTGTGACAATCTTTATCTTCTCTTGTTTGAATAAAATATCATTGATAACGTCAAAATTTGAATTAGACCTTCATATAAAAAGTTCTAGAAAATTGTCTTACTTTTTCAAAAAAAAAAAATTAAGGTCATTTAGACTTCTAAAACTCAAGATATGGGTTGAACACTGAACAATGTCTAGGTTTTAAGACAGATTCAGACTTCTTCATTGTTGCTATAATTTGAACTTGAAAATAACCTTTTTACTTGGATTCCTCATGAAAGTTGTAGGTCTATATCTTACCTTTCCATCCATATAAAGTAGACCTAAATCTGAGATCTACAACTCCAGATATGACATGTGTCAGTTAAGGAGTTATTAATACTTCAAGTGCAAAATAATAATATAAAACCTTGATAAAAATGCACTTTTAAGTACTAATCAATTATATTTTTTTTAACTATTTCTTATTTAAATATATGATAAAAAATAGACAATCGCAAAATCAAAAACCAAACTAATATTGAGATATTTTTTTGAAACTGCGATAACCTTATAGAAAACAAAAGGAAACCAATTATGAAATTGAATTCCTAATTAACTTAATATCTATAGATAAAATTGAAAGGAAAAAAAGTTAAAATTGCCATACCCACAAACATATTAACCAGCCAAACCTATAAACAAGTTCATGGACTTTATAAATTTTACTAATATGGCTTAAAAAACTATTTTTTTAACTATATGAGAAAAAATAGACTATAGCAAAGTTAAGTTCAATTTAAAAGGAATAAAAAATCTTACCAAACCTATAAATCGAGGCAAGTTCGGTTACTTTGTTAAATCCGCAAACAACTTTAACCCTATTAAAAGACAAAATAAAAAGAAAATGTAAAATCCTAAAAAAAAAGGGATAGAAAAAAAAGTTATAAAAGGTTATGAATTAATAGGGATGAAATGAATAGATTTGTATAAATAATCATGATTATTAAACGGTGGAAATAAAAGACTAATAAGTTAGCCAAGACCAAGTTGACTAAAAAGTAAAAAGAGAGGTTAAATATCAAGGATTAAAAATAAAAAAATTTGCCCTCTCTTAAGAGGAAGCTGACGAAAGAGAGAGGAGAAAAACCTCATCATTTTCAACTTCTCCTAAACCTATTTTCACAAAGCAACCATGCATGTCACCTTTCAACCCTTAAAA